TATATTATATTATATTATATTATATTATATTACATTACATTACATTGAAATCTTGGAGTGAAATAACAAAACATGATGAAATTTTAGGGTAAGCAAAAGTGGTCACAGATTCTTGACATGATAACAATGTGGGACTACAGAGGATAAGTTATTTTTCCAATACATTGTATAATACACATTTTTGTAGGAAAATTATTTACTTGTATTTCTGTTGATTCTTAAATATCTTTGCTTGTCTTCTTTTTAGGGATTGCTGTGCTTCCTTTAAGATCRCAGACTCCATCCCTGGTGAGCATCTAAACTGGGATGCCTGGAAAACAACCCCTTCCACCATAGCTGCGGCCACTTCAGGACCTCTGACTAACACCTGTCCCTCAAGGTCAAGCTACAATCCAGACATTGTTGTGAAGCTGGACTTGTTCCACTGTATGCAGCGCTTTTCCAGGGAATGCACATCTGAACATCACCCTCTTTTCAGCACCTTCTGCCAGCTCCTTTCGGCTGCTTTCTCTGTAGTGGATCAGGAAGATCTGAAGAAGCTCAAGGAGGCTTATGAGTTCTGTGGTATCGTGCCAGCCAATCCAACAAAACAACATAACCAGGAGCATTGCAGGACCAGGATACCACACCCCACGGAGCTACTGCACAGAGTGGAGTTAGTGCTGAAACATTTTTACCTGGCCAAGGATCCCAACGACATCCCTCTGTTTAAGCCATCCATGCTGAAGACGTGGYGCATCCAAACAGTACATATTTTCCATGGATGCTTGAGTGAACACGAGCTTTCTGAGGGCATCATGTAGAGGCATGGTGGAATGCTTCAGCTGATCCATGTGCCTGGGGAAGGTGCAAAGGTGCCTATTTGGATTTCCTTCAGAGGGACATCACAGCAGGAGGGTTATCATTTCCATCAGGCCCAGTGGATAACTGGAAATCTGGTCTCCACTGAGCTGTTCCAAGCACAGGGCATGACAGGAGTTGTGCGTTGGAACTACCAAAGACTGGTGGACCTGAAGCAGCCTGGAGTTGTCCTTCCTGCTGTGTTTGATCCAGCTTTGATAGATGAATTAAACACTTCTTCYAAAAGGGTCACTGGCCAGGAAAAATATCCTGCACTCCAAATCTCAAACCGGAACACTGGAGAAAGATTTGACTTCACAATGTAGAACCAGGCTGCTGACCAGTGCCTCTTGATTGGGACAAACACAGGATTTTGAAAAGAGGAGCAGCAGCTCCTTCACAGCTTCCTCTGCCATCATCCATCACCGAACAAGTCCAAACTACACTTGTGACATTGAGCACAAATTTGACTGTTCCACCTGCCGAGGAATCAGCTGCACAACTGGCCTCCACTCCTCCTTCTACTGACTTCCAAAAGCAGGAAATCATCCAAGTTTCTCCAACAGGTGAGCAAGCAAACAGTGCTATGTATTTACATTTCTGCATTAAATTTAGGAATTTATACATTAGACTTATGATTTTTACTTACCTCTTTATGGTTCAGAGACGTCACGTCCTCTGACTCTGTGAGCCTCATCAAGGAGTGCCTGGACTGGACCAGTAAAGACAGGTGGACGTGTCTTTGTGCTAGACCACACACGCTGGACATCCCCTATRAAGAAGGTCATTGATGGCTTGCTGCAGAAACGCCATGGGGAAAAGAACATTCTGCAGGCTGTGGATCAGGAGTATGCAGCCATTGTTCACCGGGCTGCCATGGATCCCAACAGCATGTTTCACCCAACTATCAAACATCACATCTCTGCATATGTGAAACATGTGGCAAAGCTCCTGAACATCAGCTCTTCCATGAATACCAGCCCAGAAAAACTTGTAGAAACCCAGGAACTGTGGAACACTTTAACCGAGGGAAGCCAGTCAACAAGAGTGAGAGATATAATACCCCGGTATTCGTCAAATGACGTCACACAAAAGTGACAAGTGCCACGCCTTCTTTAAGGCGGGACTTCGGTTTATGGTCAACTTCCGGTCCCCCTCCCTCCTTCCCRCTCGTGAGTTCCTGTTTTCATTTACCGTAACCCTACCCCTCTTTCTGTCCCCCTATTTTCATTTACTGTAACCCCTAAGCCTTGACCACAAACATCCTGTTTTGAACACGTGTTAGGATATTGCAAAAGAGTTTGACCTGTCATAACTCTACCCTCCCTCTTTCCTGTTCGTGGGTTCCTCTTTTCATTTACCGTAACCCTACCCCTCTTTCTGTCCCCCTATTTTCATTTACCGTAATCGTACCCCTCTTTTCATTTACTGTAACCCTTGACCACAAACATCCTGTTTTGAACACGTGTTAGGATATTGCAAAAGAGTTTGACCTGTCATAACTC